GCCCAAAACCCCAAAACCCCAAAACCCCAAAACCCCTGAGTATTTTTATAAAGAGCAAATATAATAAGAAATAAAGATTTAATATATAACTTTCATTTTTACTCATTAAGTTTTTTTGTCCTCAAATTATCTTTAGAGATTTTATGTTTTTATCAAACCATCTTCATTATCAACTTTTTCTTCAGAATCAATGATTGGTTCATTGTCAAAAGCTAATTAATTTAATTAGAAGTATTCTTGTTGTTAATTACTTTTAAAGATATCTTCAAATTTTGTATCGTCAATTTTCTTTCTTTGTCTTAATTCATATTGCTACTCATCTTCAAGAAATAGATCTGCTTATCTCTTTCCAGTAAGTTTTACTTACATAGGAACACTTAAGCCTAATCCAAACTTTTACCCAAAATCCGCTATAATTTTACGCTTGAGGAAAGCAGGAACTCTATTTTTATCTAAAAGTTTGCATTTTTCCGCGTAGAATATAGGCAGTCTTTCCATATTGTAGTATTTCATAATATGCGCCATCTCTCTTACATTCATAAAGTAAGGATAAGCGAAATCAGAAACTTTTTCAAAGTATTTACCCAAATTAAATCTCATCATAAAGATATCTCGAAGTTCCTTTTGAAATGAGTGAGGATCACACTTTGCTAATTTTCTTACTATCACAAATCTTTAGTCAAGGTAAACATAGACACTGCGATTAACAATACCGCTCAAAGTATTTTATATCTCAATCATGTTTTCTTTTATAAGTTCTTTGACCTATTCTTTATCGTTAATCGCCTAGCTATCTTTAACTTTCATCATTATATTTGGGTTCTCTATAGCAGCGAGAAATCTTTTAGCATAGTATACAGAATCACTATGCTTTTGGCTTGGTTTGAATTAACTTAATATTTAATTTACTTGATTACTAATTCAAGTTGCATACTAATAATCTCTTTTCAGTCTTGCATACTCTAATTAAACTGTACAAAATGTCAATTTAAAGAATTCCTCATTTTTATCAATCTATTATTCTACTTTTTCTATCTCCTTCTTTTACTCTTCCATAAATAAGGTGAAGCTACAATCTTTTCTGCTTATTTCCCTGTAGATCACATAATGTCTAAGCTAGATAAATCGAAATCTGTTCTCAAAGTAGATTCCCATATCTTCAAATTAGTCTTTAACCTGCATTATTTCCTCCATTGCTAATTTATACTCTTTGTCAAATAACTGTTGATCTCCATGATTTCTCTATTGTTAGAAATACAAGTATAATCCGAACAACTTCATAAAGTTGAATATACCTTAAACTGGCTGATGTTGATACTTTCTTTATTATTAGACTTCATTAGTCATCCACTCACAAAGGTTTTACAAATGATCTCTACTAATGAATTGCTAAATCAAATCTAAAGCCTCGTTGTGTTCCTCAAATTTAGTTTTGTATTCAGCCACCTAAATTAACTTGATTAGTGGAGGCAGTTTCTCAATTTCTAATTTCAATTTTTCTTTTGAACCTTTAAAAGGAGATTTTTTAATTTGCCTGCTATTCTTGAAATATGGTTTTAAATATTTTTCAAGAGGAGTAGGAACATTAGTCAGGACTGTGATATTCCTACCTTTATTTTAAGAATTGGCACTTGGAGGTTAATTATTTAAAGTCTGCTCTGCATTCGTTTGATTTTTTCTAGATTTATGCTAATTGAACTATTTTTGGACTATGTGCTAAGTAACCAAAAGGACAAAATCATTGTATTTTAATTGTTCAAAGTTCATTATTTTAGTAACAATAAATTCTTAATTAATCAATATTTTATTTAATATCTATAGTTTTAATCTCATTTATTGATAATTTTTAAATATCCACAGAAATTAAAAATATACGAAATCTGGGGTTTTGGGGTTTTGGGGTTTTGGGG